CTGATCGTGTAGTTTTTGTTATTCATTCTGTTGTTATTACATTAATTGTTTTTACCAACAGTAAAAAACAGTATTTTACCAATATTGTTTTCTTCTGAGAAATCTCACGTGGTCATAGTGTATAATTCTTTTTATGTGTTGCTAGATTTAACTAGCTAATATTTTGTTTATGATTTTTATATCTGTATTTCTAAGATATATTGGTCTATGGTTTTTTTGTGTGTATGTTTGATAGTTTTGTTTGGTTTTCTACTAGGGTAATATCGTCCTCATATAAGTTGGGAAATGTTTCACTGTTTATTGGAAGAATTTGTGAAGAAATGGTGGTATTTTAATATTTGGTAGATTTCACCAGTGAAGCAATCTGGGTGTGTGCTTTTTTATCTGAGTAATTTTTTTTTTTAATTTTGAGACAGAGTCTTACTATGTCCCCCTCCATAGAGTGCTGTGTCCTCACAGCCCACAGCAACCTCAAACTCTTGGGCTGAAGTGACTCTTTGGCCTCAGCCTCCTGAATAACTGGGACTATAGGCATCTGCCACAACAGCCAACTATTTTTTGGTTGAGTTGTCAATTGTTGTTTAGCAGGCCTGGGCTGGGCTCAGGCTCAGTGAGTAGCAGGCCTACTCACTGAGCTATGGGCACTGAGCTAAGAATTGGTAATTTTTTAGGGCCGGGCATGTGGCTCATGCCTATAATCCTAGCACTCTGGGAGGCTGAGGCAGGTGGATTGCCCAAGCTCACAAGTTCTAGACGAGCCTGAGCCAGAGCAAGACTCTGCCTCTAAAAATAGTCAGGCATTGTGACAGTTGCCTGTAGTCCCAGCTACTTGGGAGGCTGAGGCAAGAGAATCACTTAGGCCCAAGAGTTTGAAGTTGCTGAGCTGTGACTCCATGGCACTGACAAAGTAAGACTCTGTCTCCAAAAAAAATAAAAGGCTCAGCACCCACACACCCAGGCTGGAGGGTTCAAGCCCAGCCGGAGACTGTTAAAATAAGGACAACTGCAACCAAAAATAGCCGGGCGTTATGGTGGACGCCTGTAGTCTCAGCTACTCAGGCGGCTGAGGCAAGAGAATCGCTTAAGCCCCAAATTTTGAGGTTGCTGTGAGCTGTGACGCCAAGGCACTCTACTAAGGGTGACATAGTAACACTCTCTGTCTCAAAAAAGAAAAAGAGTTGGTAATTTTTAAACCTTTTTCTACCTTAATTTAACCATTTGTAACCCATCCCTAAGGTTTGCTTCGTTATACAGGGTGGACATAAAGTTTGTTTGCAGTTTATTAGGTTAAACTATTTTAAATTGCACCTGAAGTTTATGTCCACCTTTATAAAGAGAGTCCCCATCTCCACTAGATAGAAAGTGTTGTTAAAAAAAAAAGTTACTATTATTAACATAACCTTACTTACTACATAACTTAGATAATTTGCTCATAATTTTTCTCACACTCAGATTGTTTAAAAGTAAATTTTTGCCAGTGATGGTAGCTCAGACCTGTAATCCCAGCACTGTAGGAAGCTGAGGCAGGTGGTTTAGCTTAGGAGTTCTAGACCAGTAGGAGCAAGAGTGAGACCCTGTGTCTCTACTAAAAATAGTTAAACTAGCCAGCCATTGTGGCAAATGTCTATAGTCCTTCCCAGCTACTTGGGAGGCTGAGGCAAGAGGATCACTTGAGCCTAAAAGTTTGAGGTTGCTGTGAGCTATGATGGCACAGCACACCTTTAGTCCCACCTACTAGGGAGGATGAGGCAAGAGAATTGCTTGATCCCAAGAGTTTGAGTTTGCTGTGAGCTGTGATGCCATGGACTCTACTGAGCGCGACATAGTGAGACTATCTCAAAAAAAATTTTTTTTAAAAAGTGTACATAATTTTTCAGAAATTAAAAATTGCCTTTCATAGTGTTTAAGTATATTTTCCTCCCTTTAAAGTTCTCATCTTCTTAACATGAAGAAAATAAAAAAACATTTTTTTCTAAGCCAAGTTGATCTTCCTGTTCTATCTAACTACCTGAGCCTCAGATTTGAACCACTTATGTAAGATCCCAAGTTTTCTTTGGTTATTCTTTTCATCTATTTTCTCAGCATCACTTATATTTTTGCATCTGCTTTCTAAAGACAAAGACCTTAGAAATACGTCAGAGTGAGTTCTGTGGTAATCCATTTACACACAAACATCTTGTCAGCATAACATTCTGCTTTGTATCATCAATTAATGAAAGTTTTTCCTTTCTGTATGTATGTAAAAAGACACACTTCTAGGATGTTTTAAAATCATTTGAAGATCCTGTTCTCACAAACACAGGGACATGGTAACATTTGCATTTTTAATTCCTTTTACCAGAATGGGAGAGCATGATCGAGAATGAGGAAGTGACATCAAAGCCAAGTATTTCTCAAAGAGCAGACTCTCAGAAGGGAACATCAAAAAGACTTCAAGGAGGTGTTCCCCAGGTCCCTGATTTTGAGGAAGAGTGTGAATGGCAAGTTTTGTCAAGTCAGTGGGAAAATGAAATGGGGGGAAAGACAGATACTGTGAAGAAAAGTTCCCTTTGTGAACAGGACAGGAAGAAAAGAACTGCTCCACCAGAAAAACAAGGCCAAATGTGGAAAGAATTTGGAGAAAGCGTGACTTTAGATTCAGCTATTTCTGAAAGTTTAGTAGGTACTGAAGGAAAGAAGTTTTATAGATGTGATATATGTTGTAAACATTTCAACAAAATCTCCCACCTTATAAACCATCGGAGAATCCACACTGGTGAGAAACCTCATAAATGTAAGGAGTGTGGAAAAGGCTTTATTCAGCGCTCAAGCCTACTCATGCATTTACGGAACCATTCTGGGGAGAAACCTTATAAATGTAATGAATGTGGGAAAGCATTTTCTCAAAGTGCTTACCTTCTAAACCATCAGAGAATTCACACTGGGGAGAAACCTTACAAATGCAAGGAGTGTGGAAAGGGCTTCTATAGACACTCAGGCCTTATTATACATCTAAGGCGCCATTCAGGGGAGAGACCTTATAAGTGTAATGAGTGTGGGAAAGTTTTTTCTCAGAATGCTTACCTCATTGACCATCAAAGACTCCACAAAGGGGAAGAACCTTATAAATGTAATAAGTGTCAGAAAGCTTTCATTCTAAAGAAGAGCCTCATTCTGCACCAGAGAATCCACTCTGGGGAAAAACCCTATAAATGTGATGAATGTGGAAAAACCTTTGCTCAGACCACTTACCTTGTTGACCATCAACGACTCCACAGTACAGAGAACCCTTATAAGTGTAAAGAATGTGGAAAAGTTTTTATTCGAAGTAAAAGCCTCCTCTTACACCAGAGAGTCCACACAGAAAAAAAAACCTTTGGTTGTAAAAAGTGTGGGAAGATTTTCAGTTCTAAATCAAACCTCATTGACCATAAGAGGATGCACAGCAGAGAGAAACCCTATAAATGCTCTGAATGTGGGAAAGCCTTCACTCAGAGTGCTTACCTTTTTGACCACCAGAGACTCCACAATGGGGAGAAGCCTTATGAATGTAATGAATGTGGGAAAGTTTTTATTCTGAAAAAGAGCCTCATCTTACATCAAAGGTTCCACACTGGAGAGAATCTCTATGAATGTAAGGATTGTGGGAAGGTCTTTGGTTCTAACAGAAACCTCATTGATCACGAGAGGCTCCATAATGGGGAGAAGCCATATGAATGTCGAGAGTGTGGGAAAACCTTTATAATGAGCAAAAGTTTCATGGTCCATCAGAAACTCCATACGCAAGAGAAAGCCTACAAATGTGAGGATTGTGGGAAGGCTTTCAGCTATAATTCAAGCTTGCTTGTACATCGGAGAATCCACACTGGAGAAAAGCCTTTTGAATGTAGTGAATGTGGAAGAGCTTTCAGTTCAAACAGAAACCTTATTGAACATAAGAGAATCCACAGTGGTGAGAAACCCTATGAGTGTAATGAGTGTGGCAAATGTTTCATTCTGAAGAAAAGCCTCATTGGACATCAGAGAATTCACACAAGGGAAAAATCTTATAAATGCAATGACTGTGGGAAAGTCTTCAGTTACCGCTCAAACCTTATAGCCCATCAGAGAATCCACACTGGTGAGAAGCCCTATGCATGTAATGAATGTGGGAAAGGCTTTACTTACAACAGAAACCTTATTGAACATCAGAGAATTCACAGTGGGGAAAAAACCTATGAATGTCATATATGTAGAAAAGTTCTTACCTCTAGCAGAAATCTTATGGTACATCAAAGAATCCATACTGGAGAGAAACCTTATAAATGTGATGAGTGTGGAAAAGACTTTAGTCAGAATAAAAATCTTGTTGTACATCAGAGAATGCACACTGGGGAAAAACCTTATGAGTGTGAGAAGTGTAGGAAGTCCTTTACTTCTAAGAGGAATTTAGTTGGCCACCAGAGAATCCACACAGGAGAGAAACCCTATGGGTGTAATGATTGTAGTAAAGTTTTTAGGCAAAGAAAAAACCTTACCGTACATCAGAAAATTCATACAGATGAAAAACCTTGTGAATGTGAGGAGTCTGAAAAAGAGTACTCTCAGACTTCAAAAATTCATGTTCCACAAAAAATCCATACTGTGGAGGAATTCTCTTGGCTACAAAATGCCAATGAGTCCAAGGTAGACATTCAGAAAATCTAATGTCATATGTAAAATGGAGTATTAATTCCTGACTAAGTAATTGTTGGAGGGATGATAAATATTTCTTCTAAGGAAAAATACTTAAGATCAGCGCTTTCATAGACAAATGAGTTGCATATAGAAAAAAGTTAATCTAGACTTTTAAGTCTATAAAATAAACACAATTCAAATCTATAACATTGTAGGTATAAATGATAGCAAAAATGTCTTTGTATTAAGAAGTGGACATTGTTTCTGAAAATATATATAATATGCATTTTAAAGATAGCAACACTGCAATAGAAAGTCTATATAAACACATGGTCCAGAATGTGAAATGGGGAGTTGGGTGAATAAGAGTCTGCTGTTTGAACACAACCTAAGAAGAGCACTGGATGTGGAATCAAAAGACCTAGGTTTGTGTCTGGCTTTTTCTTATTACCTATCTGATGTTATTAAGTGAGCCTCTAAGCGTCAATTTCTCTGTCAGTCAAATGTTGACATATCACGTACCTCACAGGGTTGCTGTGAGTGTTAAATGAAAGGATATTTGTAAAAGAACTTTGTGAAATTATTCAGTTGTCAATTAAATTAGATAAGAGGTTTGGTTATAGTCTGAAAGTGACATAAAGTAAGATTTATTTATTTATTTATTTATTTATTTTTGCAGTTTTTGGCTGGGGCTGGATTTGAACCTGCCACCTCTGGCATATGGGGCCGGCACCTTACTCTTTTCAGCCACAGGCACTGCCCAGACTCTTTTGTCATTTTTTTTTTTCAGAAGATTGTTAAGTCAATATTAGAATGAGGGAGATTCCATGAACCTCAAAAATAACTCATTTTTATACAAGGAAGTGTAGTGAACAGTGAACTTGGGAATTTAGTGGTTTAAGAAGAACTTTTTTTGTTTTTGAGACGGAGTCTTAGTTTGTCACCCTCAGTAGAGTGCTGTGGCATCATAGCTTACAGTGTCCTTAAACTCTTGAGCTCATGTGATCCTCTTGCCTCAACCTCCTGAGTAGCTGGCACTATAGGCGCCTGCCACAATGCCCAGCAATTTATAGAGACAGGGTCTTGCTCTTGCTCAGGCTGGTCTTGAACTCCTCAGCTCAAGCAAAGCACCACCTAAGCCTCCCAGAGTGCTAGCATTAAGACAGTGGTTCTCGGCTCAGCGCCTGTGGCTCAATCGGCTAAGGTGCCAGCCACATACACCTAAGGTGGCAGGTTCGAATCCCCAGCCCGGGCCCGCCAAACAACAATGATGGCTGCAACCAAAAAATGGCCAGGCGTTGTGGCGGGCGCCTGTAGTCCCAGCTACTTGGGAGGCTGAGGCAAGAGACTCGCATGAGCCCAGGAGTTGGAGGTTGCTGTGAGCTGTGAGGCCATAGCACTCTACCCAGGGGGATAGCTTGAGGCTCCGTCTCAAAAAAAAAAAAAAAAAAGGGGTTCTCAACTTGTGGGTTAGGACCCTCAGGAACTGTAGTAAATGGTTACAGCATTAGGAAGGTTAAGAACCACTGATTTAAGAAAAATTTTTTTAAATTCAACTTTAAGATAGCTAAGGGAGTGGATAGGTAATGTACCTATTTTGTATTTGTGGAAACATGCTGACCATTAACAGTCTTGCCCAGGAAAACAATTTATTTTCCGGCCTTTAAATTTAAACTTAACAGATACAGAGTGTCAAAATGGAAGGACAGTTTTATGTTGCTTTCTTTATTTGTAGGGAAAAATCCTTAACCCCAATAGCTGAGCAGATAATTCTTAATTTTTTTCATTTTATTTTATTTTTAAATTTGGTTTCAGGGTATGTGATCATTCTCAATTCTAGTCAACATTTCATCATTGCAGTCATGTGATAATTTGTTATTTATGAAACATTCTGTCCTAGCACTTAATTTAATACATAAATTTTTCTGCCCACGCCCTTCAAGTTCTGATTGAGCCAATGTAGAGTCCATTTCTGGGCAATCAGTGCCTACTACGTCTGTGAACCAACCATTCATTCAGCCTGTGACCTTTTGTACATTCATGGGTTTAATTCAGCCTGTATTCTTGAGCTGATAATTTTTTGGACTATAAATACCCAAATGTCAGGATTATGTTTTTGAATACTAGTAATGTCAAAGTGGTGTATTAATTATAATAAATGTTATTAATTCCTAGTTCCTGATTAGAATGAAAGGTACCTAAAAGTGAAAAGTGGGAAGCACTCAAGGTTGAGTCTTAAGACCTGGATATGAGTTAGGTTCTTCCACTTGCCTTGGAGTAATTCCTTCACTTCTTGGAGACTTGATTTCCTCATCTGTTAAACAGGAGGAAGAATTATCTACCTCACAGATTTAGGAGGTAATAAATATGAAAATGCTTCACATCCATCGTATAGAAGAATCACTCCAGGTTCATTACAAAGGGAGTTTAACGATAGACAAAGCTATCATTTACCTCTTAACCAAGTAACAACATTGCTAAAACTGAGAAGGCCCACGTATAATGTGCCTTCTCCTGTGATGTAATAGGCCAAAAAATGTTCAACCTGAATTTAATCAGTCTTCTTAGATCTAATTATCACTTTATAGGAATACAAGAGGCAGAGGAACAAAATAAAAGATATTAAGAGAAACAGACAAATCTAGAACATGGGGTATTTTATAAGAAAATGGCCCTGAATTCTTCAAAATGTCATTATAATGGAGAAGAGAGGGGAGTGATAATTATTGAAGCTGGGTGAGTATACAGGGAGTTTATTAAAGTGTTCTCTGCTTTGTGTATGTATGAAAATTTCCATAATGAAAGGTGTAAAATGTGGATGAGGGGAGTTGTTTTTAAAAGATGCTAAAAAGCCATCAGATGCTAAGAGCCAGGAATAGACTCAAACAGATGCCCAGTTGATTTCTGACAGTTGCAAAACCAATTCAATGGAGGAGGGATAGTCTTTTCAACAAATACTGCTGGAGCAATTGGATATCCATTGGCAACACAAACAAACAAAAAACAATTTTAGGACCTAGGACTAAGCAAAGAAATCTTAGATGGCATCAAAAGGATGCTCCATAAAAGGAAAAAAAATGTTGAATTGGACTGCATCAAAATTAAAATAATTCGCTCTGCAAAAGATCCTTTTCTGAGGATGAAAAGACATTACAGACGGAGAGAAAATTTGTACAAAGCACATATCCAACAAAGGATTTGTATCTAGACTGCATAAAGAAATCTGAAAACTAACAGTAAAAAATAAATAAATCCTGTTAGAAACTACAAGACATTTTACCAAAGTATAAATAGCAAATGAAAAGATGTTCAAGGCTCGGCGCCTGTGGCTCAAGCAGCTAAGGCACCAGCCACATACATGTAAGGTGGCGGGTTCGAA